ATTCCTGTGTTAGTTTTTATTTACACGAAATCCACTTTCCGGAGACCGTTCTTTATGCTTCCCGGTGGTTTTGTATACAAGAACAACCGGCTAAAATTAGGTTTTACGCGGAGCCGTCGGTTTTGTCTCATTTCCAGGGAGAGCCCGTCCTGTTTTCGCGCTCGCGTCTAATTTTCTCTCGCGGAAATAAACGTTCGATACGAAAAAAGGAAAATTGGACCTAACTAAGAGATATAAGAAGTCGAAAACGTTGCACGGAACGAAATAAGCGTTAGACAACTACGCGCTTGGCGTTAATTTTGTTTAGAATGTAAAATCTAATAGTCTTCTATAATAAATCTCGTGCATTAAATTCTGTAATAATAATTAGAATTCTGAATTCGGGGTGTTCTTTTTACCGAAAATTCCACGTAATTTGAGCACAGTCTCAGCTACACACTCTCCGTACTTATAATGAATTTTCACAATCTTCACTCGCTCACTTGTACAGCGCTCCAGTTTGTCTAACCGCAGCACAATGCGGAATGAAAATGGCGCACAATTCAAATCCTGCGTTATTTTTAGGACGCCCCTTTATAAATAACGCTGTTTTTATAAAATAATGTTCGCATACAGGTACTCCGTACAATTAATTAGTATAAACATATAAAACGTATAGAAATATATAAATACATCACAACATTTTCATAACAAATATAAATACCTGTCCTAATCCTTATAATGACTATAATCCTTTAATACATCTAACAAATACACATCTGTTTTTTTTATTGTATTTATCATGAAAAAGTATAACAACACATATTTTGGGAGCTACAGCAAATCTAATTATAAAAAAGTCAAGAAATAAAACACAAAATGCCATTAGTTGATCCTTAATAGAAGTCAACAAGTGATACGACAGATAACTTGTTTATAATGTAGATGGTGTTTAAGGTTAAATCCATGCTAGTTCGGTTTGTTACGCAGAGCATCTCCACGCGACGTCACTATTTTCAAGGTCGTTGTTTGATGGATAAATAGTTTTGTTAATATTCTACGGAAATTATATGTTTGAAAGGCTGTAACTTCGTGAATAATGGGTTGTATTGAGAAAAATGGATAAGAAAATTTGTTTGATGTATTTTTCTGACAATTTCACGTTAAATAACACAGCCGCACAAAAAAAAGTTGCCTGTACTTTTCATGCGATATATGTTATCCATAGTATTTTTGCCATATGATCACGAATCCGGTGTCAGAATTGAGCTATCACATCACAGGAATTTCCTAACTTCAAAAAAGAGGTCAAATTTAGCAAAAATTCACGAAAAAGTGATAGGGAAAGTTCAAAAAATTTTTTTCTATATTCAAATGTTCATTTATATGGTTAAGACCCCGCCGAACGTGAATCCGCGGTCAAAATTGATGGTTCTTTTTCTAACCTCAAAAAAAACGGATCAGTTTAGGTCGGATATCAGGAATTTTCAAAAAATAACATTCGCGCCAAATTTGGTATACGGGGGTTTTCGGAGTCACTGATCACCAATTGGAGGTCAATTTTAAAAATTCAAGATGGCGGATTCAAGGTCAGAATTGCGAAATTCATTTTGTAAGTGTTTTTGTTTACTTTATAACCTGAGTACCAATCATGTTTTAATCTTCTGTTTTTCTACTATATATTCTCGACATTTGAAATATTCAATGCAAAATTGTAAAAAAGAGGACGTAATTTTTTTTAGTAATTTTGTAAAATTTAATTTTTTTTGAAAATTAAAAATAGTGTTGCTCAAAAAAAATTTCATCCCAAGATTTCAAAACTAGAATCTTTAAGCTTCGAGATGCTTCTTTTTTTTCTCGATACGACCATTATTCACGAAGTTACAACCGTTCAAAAATCACTAAAAAAATTAGAACATTTTTCTGCTCCTTTAATTTTATTGCAGAGCAGATCGCGGAAGTAATTCAGCAATAATTGAGCTTTTTCGCTCTCTCTAACTGTCTCCTTTTCATATTTCTACCCTTTGCCACGGAAGACCTACGTAGATATGTTAAAAAAAAAACCGTCGAACAGAGACGTCCTAACGACTAGCCGTGTAACACGTGGCCGGTACCGTGAACAAAACCCACTCCTGTGGGACGAATGACAATTATTTTTCGGGCTGCAACAGCGGCGACAATAACGAGTGTAATTATCGAGTGAAACCTCTCTACGGGCCACGTGCGATGTGGCGAACCAGACCAATTTAAACTTCGAAATAGAGATTTGGGGAATGAAGGGTTGCCGCGTGGATAATAATTTGCAAGCTTGGATTGTGTCCGAAAAAAAGAAGTTCTGTCGGCTTCGATGGGAAAAATATTAGTATTATTTCACTAAGAAATGATTAGGTTATAAAAATAACCGCTTTTCTTTAGCAAGTGCACAATATTTATTATGCCTTGAATTGGCGATGTAGGTATTTGGAACAGTTTGTTTCTAAAAACCATATACAGGGTGTTTCAGAAAGACCTCCTGTAAATTCAGGGGGTGATAGCGCGACAAATAATAAGAATTTTTTGTCTTATGAACTATATGTCTATCTCCTCTTGTTTTCGAGATACAGAGCACAAAATAAAATTGTGGGTACACATGTTCGCAAGTGACCCATTTTTAAGCATTACGTCAAGAACGCCGCCGGATGCACCACGTGGTTCCCGGAAGACGACCCCGGCAGAGTGGCGCCAAGGACCAGGGACTTCTGCCAGCGACTACCAAGCTACCTACGACCGACTCCACACACAGGGACTCTCCAACGAACACTCACCCCGTCAACACGTCTTTTCCTATACAAGTTTACTATACATTAATTTTCAATAAAATTCTTTATTATTACCGTTGAGAGAGCGTTTTATTCTTGCTGTACAGCGAAAGCAACCCTCAAGTGGTGACCCCGACGAATTTTTACGAAAATTTGCGAAATATTTTTATGAAATTTGGTATTCCGGGGTTTTTAAGCGCGCCAAATACGCAAAGTTTTTCGGGCTCCAATTTCTAATGTACAATTTTATTTTCTAAAAATAATGTACTCTTGTACGAAGTTCTAACAAGAGTACATTTTTTTAGAAAATCAAATTGTACATTAAAAATTGGGTCCTGAATGGTAAAAACCTAACCTTAAAAAAATTAGAACTTAAAATGTAATGGGAATGAAGCGTAACTAGCGCCCTCTATGAAATATCCAAAAAATAATTAAACCAGCGTATTTGGCGTCTTTAAAAACCAAATTTCATAAAAGTATTTCGCACCGTTTGGAAATTTTCGTAAAAATTCTATTTAAAAAATTTTATTTTGTCGCTCTGTATCTCGAAAAAATTTGTGTTGAGTAAAATGTAATAAAATCTGACCTCAACATTTCAAGTAGCCACCTTTTGAGAACTGCTGATTTTCATAGATGTTCGATGTACCCACCACTTGCTTGCACACAAGCTTCAGCGCTAAGTATTCAATTCGGTCGCAGGCATTGCTTCGGCAATACGATGTCGCAGTTGGTCGATGTCACGAACTTCCGTGAAATACACAACACTTCATAATATTCGCGATTGCTAAACAAATGCGCCATTTTCAAAAGAAAACTTGGAAATACGGCTATTAAATGTACTCTCGAAAAACAGCACAGCAATCACTACAACAATGTATTACAAACTGTCTTTCGAATACAGTCCGGCACATAAGAAACCTACAAACTCGTAAAAAGTGTTACAGAATTTTTTGTAAATACTCGCCGCAATAAAATGCATGTATTTGAGCAGTTCCAAAACAGTTTTAAAACACATTTTTAATTAGCCTTTTTCTCTATAACCTTAAACTTCCGATACAAGTTTGTGACATCAGTCACATAAGTTCATTCACACCCTGTATATATATGTTTTATCAGATGGTGATTAGTATCATTCCTCACGAGATTTATTACTGTTCATTGTAAACGAATCATTATGACTGAAGCCGCTAAATTGACATTAGCGCATTTTTCAGTAGCGCCCGTCGTTTGTGTCTGTTATCGTTTGAGTTAACTTGTTGCCATCGTTTTATTGTTTCTATTGCCTCAAATAACAGTTTAACGACGTAAACTCGAGCACTAAGTTTTGTGATTTCGAAAAATAACCAGGAAAATATTATTGGTTTCTTTTTTAATAAAATACATATTCGCAAGCTTCACTGACAAACGCACACCCCGTAGCATACAAAAACTAGCAACAACTAATGAAATTTCCATTAACGGTGAAGGGAACAGAGAGGCGCGCATTTTGTGCAATAATTAATACTCGTATTCATGAAGCAAGTCACCGGCCAATTACGAAGTTTGTTGAGGCTGCATTATGCCCGTTTTTGCCGAAGAATATATGCATTACAACAATAATAATATTCATTACTCGCTATAAAACTTGGTTTAGCACTCAATAAACCGCAAATTAAGTATTCTTTGCGACAAAAAAATTACCCGTTTATGCCGGTTATTAAATTATCGAATGAGATTCTCCCTCCCGACCGTTCCGGCAAATTGGTACCTTTGAAAAGGTAGCACTGGACGTGGTACGCCTACAGCTCTCTAAATAGCGGTTATTCCGACCGCGTATGTCATAATGTTTTACGTTTCGAGGAGAAAAAGCATGCAACATTCACCAGGGAAAAAGCAAACATTCTATTAGGTAATGCATATGTGTCTCGATTAATACAAGGTGTATCCTTCACGGTTTCACATGTATAGCGAATATGCACTGGTATACGGGAAGTTAATTTGTTATGCGGAACGAAAAATCATTGGTCTTCCACAGGGACCGCTGCTTGGCCCGCTTCATGTTCTTGGCAATTATAAATGACTTACCTTGAAGTGAAAAGTAAACTGTATATTTCCCTTATTATATGTATTTTGTTTATTAATTACATCCGAATTTTATTTCTATTACGGTTGCAAAAGACACCTAGAAACATAACATTAATATAAACAAACAATTGAATACTACATTTACGATTTTTTTTCCAGGTCTCACTCGACCCCCTATGTACCCCTTCTCTGCTGGCCAGTACCCTTACCCCATGCTCAGTCCGGAGATGTCTCAGGTGGCGACCTGGTGAGTAGCCTCATCTAATTACCGACCCCCTCTAATCCCGGAATGGGATTTACTGTGCACTCTTTAATCGTCCCTACAAACGAGATTTGCTCCGGTCTTTGACGATTAAACGCTCCGCCAGTCTGTCCTCTGCGAAATGTTCACATGAGAAAATAACATGTGACGTTTAATTAATTTTTTGTTTTAATGAAAAAACGCCCGAATGAAAGTTTGGAACGACCGGTAATGATTTTAACGTTGCGCAGTAAGAAATTCTATTTATTTGTTACTAATAAATCTATATTAAAATTAACAAAATCGAATATTAGTGGTAACAATCTTGTATATTAACCATCGCAAATGTTCTAAATGTGTGAGTAATCATATTCTACATATAAAAACAATTCATCTCCGATTTATTAATAACATAAAATGTTTGTCTGTTATAATTAATCATTTCCAGAATAACTATTAATATAAATTTTCGTATTAAAGCTACGTATTTGTTGATTATACGGAGTCATTGACTGTGAAATCCTTGACGCCTAGTACATTGGTCTTGCGGATCAGAGCGTTACGAATACGTTTAAAAAAAACAATGCACGGTCATATCTTGTCTATGATGTGTACGACCATATCGTGGGTGTTGAAAACGAGCCTTATCGGTGGGTGAAAGGTCAATACCGTTTAAATAAAATTAACGTGACCAGTTTGTAGTTTGAGAGCCGGACAATGATTCCTAGAAAGTAGATATCACATAATTAATCTCTAATTCCAATAGTTATTTAGCTATTTATGAGCTCCGCTTTGAAGATGCCGACACAAGTTTGTTTCATTCATATTGTCAAATGTACTAACATAAATATTAGAAGAAAATCTGTAAATAGAAAATGCCTGAATGTTTTATAATTATTTTTAAATATAGTGCAGTTTAACGTCATATATTTTCCATGAGCAATAACAATTTTCCATGTGCACACAATTTTCCATGCGCACTAACAATTTTTTTGTGCACAAACAACTTTCCATGCGCACTAACAAATTTTGAACGAATATAAAAGATTTATTGTATTAAATAATAGGTGTATTGTTTATTTTTTCTTAATTTATTTTTTGTATTCCAATATTTTGCATTTCATTTTGACTTACTTCAGTTTATGCAAGTTCTCCGCATCGCCATTAAATAAACGCTAGGGAAACAAGTCTATAAACGAAACCAATCGATGAAAGTATTAAATTTCAGGCATCAATTTTCCAGGTGTTTTTTTTCGCCGCATTCTTTCCGGCCTTTGGAAAAACGCGTTTTAGCTTATTGGCCAGACCACTCCATCCATTTTAGTGACACATGTGACTAATGAAAACCGTCTAATAATAGACTTTTCAAAGGAAAACATTTACACTACGAATATACTTCCTTTTTGTGTAAGTCAGGACAAGCAATTTATAACCATCGCCGCTATAATAGCGTTTTATTATTGTTATATATCTGCCTGTATCAACAACCGACACGCGTTGAATGGGGTGTAGGTCGATTAATTGAAATTATTAAATGTATTTGTGGGCTGCCGTTGGGGCGTTCATAATAATTTTAGTCAATGGGTTTCGGAACGGGGAGAAGAAAAGTAGCGTTATATTAATAACGTGAGTGTAGCGCGGGGTGGGTATACTCCATTCGCGATTGGAGATTAGTATCTCTCCCTAAACAGTCTCGCGCGGAAACATCGACATATAATAAGCAGTTTTAAAGGAATGTTAAAAACAAAAAAGGCGAATTTAAGTTATTTATAAACATTAAAAACAACAATGGCTCAAGGTTTGATCCCTGGGGAACTCCAGGTGAAGTTGAAGAACAGTCAGATTGATGGCCGTTGTAAGTAACGTACTGGCGCCTATCTTGCATTTAAAACTGAAATAATCTTAGTAAGGGTTCATTAAAATCAAAATAGTTAAGTTTTTTTTACGAAAATATTATGGTTAATGCGGTGCGTGAAAATTCTTTAAGTTGATATATACTACATCAGCCTGACCAGGTTAATCAATTGGTGAATAAAGCAAAGAAGATTTCAAACATTTGTTCTCTTTTTCATGTTAATATGGAGATATGTAGTTGCTCTCTAACGGATAAATTGCAGCATACAAAGACATAGCGTCCGCGTGGATCACCAGACCCGACGCTTATTGGCTCGTCCCTGCGACGCGCCAAATCCGACACCTATCGAGTTTAATTGTTGTTTTTTTTGTTTCAGGCACACACCGAGCATGTACCCCCTGTCGCCGGGAGCTGGCTTCAGGAGTCCCTACCCCAGCACGTTACCGATCTCGACCAGCAGCCTGCCCAGCGATTTCTACCGGTTCTCCCCGACCGGGCTGATCCAGCCGCACCCAGGGCTGTCGCCGCACCCGCCCCACCTGTCCTCCCATCCCGCCATCGTCACGCCGGGGCCCAAACAGGAGCTGCCCGACCTGAACCACAGGTAAAATTTTTTATCACCACATTACGTGGTATTGCCGGCGTCTAGGAACAGAGGCTCGTGTCAGAGTTCAAATCGCGTCTATTCGTCCACTTTAAGTAATTGTGCTGTTTGATGACCAGTTATAGAATGGGTATAGTCTTTCCGGTGTCAATTGAAGAACGTCGTTGAAGATCGTTACGGTATGTACTAGGTTCGGTCGCTGACGCAGCAACTTGGCATTGAAATATTTGAAAAACTTGTTCCCATATTCATTTAGCCATACCCATATACAGACAGGTCTGGTCGAAATACACGTGGAGGTGGTAGAAATGTATACGCCCAGTTGAAGGATGCGAGCGCGGGCAAACGAAATCTAACACAACTGTATTGGGCTACTGGGCAATAAATCTCAGCTTTTGACAAGTGGTTGACAAATTGCCCAGCAGTGCAGTGCAGCAATGCGGAATTTGGTGTGATTTAGGTAATTTTATTTTTTTATAGGCACCTTCTATTAAACATTTATATTACAATTGCGAAAGGGAGAAATAATATTATTACAACATGGCATTTTGGAGATCTCTTGAAACGGAACAAAACGAAATTTACCATTAATAAAATTGTTTGAGGACATAAATAATTAAAATATGTTGTTCTATTTCTATAATTTTCTACACATTATATACAAATTATTATAATTTTTTACCTTTAGCAGAAAACTTTATTAGGGACGCCTATGAAACTCATTAAATTTGATTGCTCGGTTTTTTTAATATATGTTCAATTCACTTCGGAAAGACTATACTAGAAATAATTCTAATAACATAAAAAAAAACAGCAAACTTGGCATAAATATGGTATTTTAAGATTAAGATATTTTAATAGCGATCCGTAGATAATAAATCTAGGTTTTTTTTGGAGGTAGTATTGACCCTGAAAGGTTACACTTGGGGTGGGCCCCTTAAAGGTCACACTAGTGCGAATTGGAATTTTGCCAACTTTGAACCTGTCTTCTTTATTTTTAACGAAAACATGGATTTACTTTTAGCGGGTAAAATTTTCCGAAAATCGTATAAGTTCTGAATTTTGGTCCCTTTTCTGTAAGTTGATGTTTATTTAGCACTTTTTTGTGTAAAAATATTAATTTAAACATAAATATCGACATACATTTTACAATTAAACCATAAATGAAAAAAAAATTATTAATAATAACAGCCACACTTTTGCGCACACTAAAGTCACACTAGTGCGTATAGAAGGAACTTCGACAGCTGCTGAGAAATGACAGCTGTTAAATAAAAAAAACGGAATTCGCACTAGTGTGACCTTTGAGGGTTAATGACACAGTAGTTCAGCCATCATCTGCATAGAATAGATAGTTTATGATGAAATAATATCTTTTATGGAAATAGTGAATTAAAGAGGACTTAATTGGAGCCATGCGAACACCAGACATATTTAAATTTTGCTTCCATCACATTTTTTTTAGACAGAAATTATGTTAGTGTTTATAAAAATTTGAGTTTATTATGCGCTACAGCTGAGTAAAATAAAAATCGAACTTTATGCAACCAGTTCCACTTCTAATTCAACTTTGACGCAATATTGTGAAATAGGTCGTAATCATCTTCCATAGTTTATGGGTGTAATTGCAGTCGTTCCAATTGAAAGTCCTGGATATAAATATTTTATTTTATCATAATTTAATTGAAAAAGCGAAAGAAATCAAATTACTGTTTCAAACATAACTACTTGTAATCATTTATGGAGGCTCAGTGACAAAAGTGCATATACTTTGCGCGACCCCCATTTCGTGTACCAGCATTGGATTTTTCTTGTCCTGTCCGTCATTAAGGACTGCCGGATCCGAGAGGCAGCGTCGTCCGAACCCCTCGGTTCCATTGGCAGAACGGCCGCAAAAATTAGATCGAATCGGGCGCTAATTGCCGCCCGCGGTAATCCTAGTCGGGGGCGGCCATGCGAGAAATGAGATCCAAGATTGGTTATCGACTTTGCGGCCATTGGCCAGCCGTTGCCCGGCAACCGCATCTCGCCGGTGCCCGAAGGGTTGCCTATACGGCGGCGGTGGCAGTGGCGGCCTCGCTTCGTTTTTGTTTGGTTTTCATTTGACGAGGTATTTGTTCAAGCGCCAGGCTGCCGCCGTGTTCGACGATCGAGCCTTTGCGAGCAGCTGCAATTTGCAATCCAACGTGGGCCGGATGGAACTGTAGCTGCGGCGTGGGTTCTCTCGATTTTTTTTCTCGCCGGAATCGGTAATGAGGCCTTTTGATCCCAGAATTCGCGGCGGCCGGCGCTCGGCTCTCAATTTAGACATATTTTGCTCCCGTCGCAACGAAAATGTTATACTTTGCACAATGAAGTCTATTTTGTGGGGCTATTTGTTAATTTTTTAGGGTTTGTAAATTTATAACGTATTTTTAACCCTCAAAGGTCACACTAGTGTGAATTTGCGCCAGGTAGCAGCTGCCGAGGGTTCCCCCACCACGACAATTCCTTCTATAGCCCAAACAATCGAGCCGTACCACAGCTGGCTTCAGTCTGTTATTATCGGCCAAACTAGAGTCTGAAAAAGTCCGATCGGTGCGAATTCGCACTAGTGTGACTAGTGCGAAAAGTGTGACTGAATTTATATCATATAATCTAGAAATAAAGTGAATTGATATGCGAATGTCGAATTTTTTCACCTCATTTTACGTATCGAATAGACTAGAACATTGTTTATTTAGTTATAGTTACTAATTTATTAAGAATATAACTAATTACATTATTCGATTTCTCGGAAAATTTTACCCCAGTTTTGATATAAATACGTAAACCAATAAACCAATAAAGCCGTAAAGGTTGAAAGTTGGCACAATTCCAATTCGCACTAGTGTGACCTTTAAGGTGGCCAACCCTAAGTGTGACCTTTGAGGGTCAAGCTATGTTCAATCAACTGGGACTTCTGCAAGGATCTGTTTTAGGATGATTAGGGAATCATATAGGGACATTATTTAGCCACGTATATAGGGTGTTACAAATTAGTAGGTCGAGCCGTTAACCACATATTCTTTGGAATAAAACAATGGAACTTTTCTTATGTTACTTTTCATTTCGGAGCCCTATTTTCAAAATACGGGGTGTCAAAATCAAAATTTTATAAATTATTTTGATTGATACGGCGATTCATGAGTACTATAACTCCCCTTTCCTTCGTTCGCGGTTTGATATTTTACACTAAAATTACACGGAAAGTGTGTCGACTTAAGACAAAAATGTGCCAAATTTGAAACAAATATCTCTAAAATCAGCGGAGCGGAGCTATCAATAAAAATAATTTCTAAAATTATATGCTACCAGTACATAAAAAAAGACTCAACTCGATAGACAAGATATAACACGCGCAATTTGAAAATTTCCGTCCTCTTTGATCAAACCTCGTAAATGATTTATATTCCGAAAACTAAGAGTGGTATAATCTTTCCGATATCAATTGAAGAACCAAGAGGTTGACAGTTGACCAGGTTCGGTCGCTGACGCTGCAACTGGGCATTGAAATATTTGAAAAACCTTTTCCCATATTTATTTAGCCATATCCATATACAGGTCTGGTTGAAGGAGGTGGTAGAAATGTATACGCTCAGTTGAAGAATGCGAACACGGGTAAACGAAATACGAACACAGCCGCATTGGGCCACTGGGTAATAAATCCCAGCTGTTGACAAATGGTTGACAAATTGCCCAGCAGTGCAGTGCAGCAATGTGGAATTTGGTGTGATTCAAGTAATTTTAATTTATTATAGGAACCTTCTATTAATCATTAATATTGCAATTGCAAAAGGAAGAAATATTATTACAACATGGCATTTTGGAGGCCTTTTGAAATGGAACAAAACGAAATTTATCATCAATATAATAAAATTGTTTGAGGACATAAATAATTAAAATATGTTGGCCAAATGAACATACAATAGAAATTTTCTACATATAAATTATTATAATTTTTTACCTTTAGCAGAAAACTTTTTTGGGGACGCCTATGAAGGTCATTAAATTTTATTGCCAGGCGTTTGTTTACATGTTTAACTGACTTCAGAAAGATTATGACATAGGTGTCTTCCCTATTTTTATTTCAATTCCTGAACGCACCCTTACGAATTTATTTCTGTAAGAGTACGCCCGCTCCATCTACCGATGAGGGTTGGAAACCGCCACCCCTTCGACATAGAAATCTGCCTTCCCATCCCCCAAGGTCCGCCATCGGCCGCTCGGCGTCAAGCGTCTGTAAAAATCCATCCCGGAATCTCGGGTCAATCAATAATTCCCTTTGATAAGGCCCAGCCGACAATGTCGTGCATTTTTTATCGGGATATCTTCAGTAAGCGGAACGGCCGTTCTTTATGCGTTTCCGTCCTTCGCTCCACTTCGACGCTAAGTGGCGGCCTTTTAGGAAACTCGTATCTTTCAGTCACCCGAAATATTCATATACAGGGTGTACGAGTCAAAAGTTATGTGAAAGTATCATCTGAATATTTTCAGAAAGGACGCGTGTACTGTTAAGAGAAAAGAAAAAAATAAAACGGCGCATAATTGTCCGTAACAGAAATATTATCAAAAGTTTTTTAGTTCTGCTTATTTCAGCTTGTTCTTTTTACTCGTGTGTCAAATTTTTGGTACGATTTTTTCATGTCAAATTTGCATTTTCATTCGACAAGTAAAAAACTCATAGAATTTTATTCCGTCATTACTGTTTTTATATAATTCTAAATCTTCAACTAGAATCTTCGTAGGTTTTTATTTACACTTTCGTGTTTTCGTCGGTGCGACACGTTCCGATATTCAAATGTTTTTCATGGATTACTAAGAAAAATATTTTTATAATCCGACATATTTATTTGCTTATCGAACCGCGTCCGCTTCGCGACGATTTTTCTTGCTCTTCCGCTGATTTTTTTAGACTGTTTAGTTTTTCGTTCGTCCTCGCAGTCAATTAAGTTTATTTATTTGCTGGCTCGTATTCCCCGGGATCGTTACGGAGCGCCTCTCTCTGAAATAAAAATATTCCGGCGGCTGCTCGCAGTTCTTCTACCCCCCCGCAAAAAACAGAAAAGGACGGAGATAAATCGCAGGATCAATCCATCAAATGGGACGGCGCGACATTTAACGATGTACCTGCCTTCTCTATCTAACAAGTAACAACACTATCTCGACAGGGACGGAGCTGGACAGAAGCGCCTTGGCCTCCGCTTCAACCGATCGTATATTTAAGTTACAGAAACACGGTCAATATTTCATAAAAAAAAAGGCAAACAGTAGCCGCTACAAGCGTGAACGAAGCTATCTTTAATTTGCGGCGGAGGTTTCATTTTTTTAATTACAAAATATTGAAAATCGGTTGAAATTTCTCTTAAAAAAATAAAATGGCAACTTTCTATCCTTAGTATTAACCGAGATGCTCTAACACGACATCGAAAATATAATGCTGTAAGGCTAAATGCATTTGAGCCTTAATGGTAGGATGGACAGTGGAAAAATATGGAAAAGTTTCCATTTCTTTTTATTCTCCTGGACTCTCTTTTTGATTTTAACACATTAAAAAAAATCTAAATTAAACTAAATTTATAAATCTGCCACTTTAATCAGTACGGTGGTAATAGAAGTTAAATAATCTTTAAAATTGCCACGCCCTAAAATAATTGATCCACACGTGGTTCTTAGATTTTAATATTTGTTCCTTATTGAACAAGAATAATTAAGGTGCTCAGTTGATTTTTGCTAAAAAAAATAGGCCTGTTTGGACGGACAGTTTTCAGAGATGTCCACAGAAAAATCCGAGACTGCTTAAGGGAGCGCCCGGCCCTGCGCCCGCCGATAGGAGCTGTCTATTGGGCATTTTGAACTCGCTACGTTATTAAATCGCACACAAACCTGTCGCGTCTGCAATCGTACAATCCATTTGCCGCAATTAAATCTGTGATATATTCGAGGGCAATAAATAATCTAAGTAGGCGAGATCGCGCGTTCTCCTCAGTTCGGCTCGGCCTGGAAATCCGTCGCGATATCCGCGTCCCTGCCACGTGCTTCATCTGTTTCCATTCAACCCAAACAAAGGACGAGCGGGCACAGCCATTCATATTGATTTTCCGTGATGAACGGCACATAAAAAACTTGTTGATCCTCGCCGCCTTGACGTCTCCCAATCCAGTCCTTCCAATCGTTTTTAAGCCCTAGTGAGACTGACCCGAATATATTCGCATAGTTTTTCTGCCGTCATGGATACCCCCGAGGAGCCATTGAATTTAACCGTCAAGAAAATGCCAATCGCCATCGTCGCACCGTTTTCCGTCGTAGACCCCAAATCAAACAACAATAACAACAATAATAATAACAATAATAATAATAATAACCAATCCCACGTGTCCGACCTAAACAAATGTGAGGAAGATTTACCTGAAGACCTCTCCCTTAAAAATAAATCCTCCAGTGACCAAGGTCTGGACTTGACGAAAAACAGTAATTTCGAAAAGTCGAACTTGAACCGCAACCTCCAGCTACGCAGCTACTTCTGCAAAAACGAGGAAACTCGAAGTCTGTACGACAGAAACACCTTTAACGACAACAACTACAACGACAACAAACTGGTATACGAAAATTCGACGTCTGAAATAGAACGGGACACCTTCTACTCGTTCCTGAACAGCTTGGACAACAAGTTCTTGTCCATGTGGTACATGAACACTATCCTGAACCAACAGAACCCCTACCTGAACCTCACTAGTTCCCCCTACCGGACGAAACCGGACACTTCGCCCGGTTCAAACAAGATACTGAACAACCTCTTGGATAAGAAACCGTACGCGAGCTACAAGTTTCCGATGGACTTTGACGCTCTCATTAAGAACGAGATGCAGCCCGAGAATAGTGAAGCCAAAGGGTTATTTTTTTTCCAATAAATTATACTGTAGCACTATTAAAAATATAGTACACAAGTACCATTGGATTTTTTTATGATATGGGCGTAATCAGGTAAAGATTTTACTAACTCTTATTGATTTCAGGTCGCAAATGGACCACAAGAACAACATTGACGGGAAGAACAACCAAGACAGTAACGAGAAGAAGAAGCCTCACATAAAGAAACCCCTGAACGCTTTCATGTTGTACATGAAGGAGATGCGCGCCAAAGTGGTGGCCGAGTGTACCCTGAAGGAGAGCGCCGCTATCAACCAGATTCTGGGACGACGGGTAAGGCCGATATTATTTTCTTTGTGTGCTGTGTGGAAAGTGATTGGTACGACTGAAAAGAGTAATGCATTTGGAGACCCTTTAGTAAACGAAAACGTTTTTTTTTTTGTTGGACTTCAAATGAACTACTCGCGGGTCAATATCAGCACTTCTTTCAATGTTGGTGACAATGAAAGGGTTGCTGCTACTGCTCTGGGTTGATTTTGAAAATGATTCGAGTTTACGTTTCAAGGACTAATACCTGCATCTTCAATTATTATAAATTTGTTTAACTAATATTTTAGTTTTTAGATAAAAAATGTTTATAGGTACATATCGACGCTTTAGTACGAAAACATGCTATCTCAAATTTCAGTTGGAAAACATGCTATCTCAAATTAAGCTTGGAAATCATGCTGACTCAGATCTTTAGGTAAAAACATGCTATCTCAGTGTGACTAGAAATTTAAGTTGGTTTGATATCAAAATTAATAGCGTACTTTTATCTAATTTAGAGTCGCTACTCTTGGTAGACTTATTTTTCTTTTTGGGATGCACAATTTATTCTAAAAGTAATTTTGTATGCCTAAGGAGACTGCAATTATATAGAAGAATTATATAGTGGACCAGGCTAGGCCCCAAACTCCAGTTCCGAAACGTTCTTACTGCACCTCAATAAAAACAAGGTAGCCGCGTTTTTGCATAGACTTTGGAAATGAAATGCAGGTATGCGACACTTTTATTACCGGTACTTTATGATCTGCTGGTGATAAACATGTGTGCATGGGGAACCGCGGAAATGTGCACGTGCAAATCATATGCGCCCGTCGCATCGATATATGTATACATATCATTCAACTTTATACATTATATTTATATTCTGGTTATGATGTTAAGTCTATTAACAAAAGTAAGAGTAGTGGCTATATATCAGGTAAGAGTGCGCTATTAATTTTCATATCAAAGCAAACTTGTATGAAAAAAATCGAATAATTTTTAGTAATAACAAACATTTTTATATATTAAGGTATACACTATTTTTTTTATAATTTGTTATTTCAAAAAACGTCGAGTAATGTACGTGTTGCAGTATACTGCATATTATTCTGTTTTTTTTTTAATTAACAATTTTGTCGTTTATAACAGTAACTTAACAAAATTAATTGAAAAATGTTGAATAAAAAAAATAATATACAGTGTACCTGAACATAAACATTCCTTACGTTTTTAAAAATATATTATATAAGTTTATTATAAATGCAAGGTTTCAATCATTCAATGTGCCAACTTATTTCTAGTCACACTGAGATAGCATGTTTTTACTTAAAGATCTGAGTTAGCATGTTTTCCAAGCTTAATTTGAGATAGCATGTTTTCGTACTAAAGTGTCGATATGTACAAAGAGAGGTATTGGTTTACACATTATAAATAAACCGTATTTTTGTCTGTTATATAACGCACACAATATTTATTGTTTTTGAAAAATTGATATCGGTAAAATACAGGGTGTTTCAAAAACATATGTCGGAAAATTAAGGTATGTTACTCTTTGGTTCATTTTAAGTTTCCTTCATTTATCGACATATGTTTTCAAACACCATATATACCTTCGAACGAAAATGTAGAATTTAAATAGCTTTTTTAAATGTAGATTACAGATCTGATAGATATTATGAAAACACTTTAAATCCTAACCTAACTATTAAAATGTATGTCGCGAGGTTCGTATCTGGGGCCGTACACAAGAGAACTATTCTCTTGTGTGCGTCTGGGAGAGTTGTGCGTTTCGGAAGAGGCAAAACTACGGTTAGAGCGTATCAGAGTGAATGTGAGCGTTCCGGCGAGTATGTAAACTGTGTAATTGCTTAGTGGCACTCGCTGACCCGCGAGGAGCAGGCCAAGTATTACGAGAAGGCGCGCCAGGAGCGCCAATTGCACATGCAGCTGTACCCGGGCTGGAGCGCACGGGACAATTACGGTTACGGCACCAAGAAGAAGAAGCGAAAGAAAGAACGAACACCGATCGAGTCGGGAGGTAGTTATATACCGCGCACCCTAAGTCTAGAGTGCTCTGAGTCGTGTGACCCGAACCTCCGCGGCAAACTGACCGTCTTGGCCAAAATTCGCTTTTTATATGGGACGGTTGTACGAGCGGATGGTCAGATTGCTGGAAGTGTCAGGCCACACGATGGGTTTAAGTTAGGGATTAGCTCGGAGATGGGCTGTGTCGTAAATCCGCGCGAAGCCGGCTTTCTCTGGATAGGTTACGAGTCTGTGGTGACGTCATTCCGTGGTAAGCTGACGCTAAATGGGCTCTGAACAGTTTGACGCTTGGATCTAGTCGGATATTTCACTTGAACGAAAGAAAAAAATATATATGGAAGAAAAAAATTAGACAATGACAATGTTACGGAAGAACGATTTGACTATGTTACACCCCTGCACAGATCTCGTACCATCCGGTGAAGGTCGTCAAGCGCGGGTGGTCCTTCCCGATCCAGACGATGTTTACTGTTCAATTGCTTGGAGTACTAACATTGCACTCGATTCTAACTGCTGCCGGAGCCCGAGGACGAGGACGGGTGCAGGCAGGGACGTCACGCGTTCCTTTGTCGCCTTCGTCGTCGTCGTCGCCGGCTCCGCAACCCCACCTTCGCTCCGGGAGCTCTGACCGACGTGCATAATCGCGTGAGAGCAGAATGGGTCGGTGGCGGCCAAGGCTGGGGGGCCGGCATGGCGATTCTTGCGCGGCTTCTTGGTGCCCTGCCGGTACGACACAATGCTGACTCTGTTCTGTTTAGTGGCACGCGCTGGGCCGCGAGGAGCAGGCTAAGTACTATGAGCTGGCCCGCCGCGAGAGGCAGCTGCACATGCAGCTCTACCCCGACTGGTCGTCCCGCGCCAACGCCACTCGCGGCAAGAAGAGGAAGCGCAAACAAGACCCCGCCGATGGAGGTAGCCACCCTCGCAACTTACTATCTCTTCCGCGGCCGCCTGGATTCGGGGAGGGTGCCCCCTCGGCCTCCGGTACCGTCTGGAATTGGGTAGTCGCCGCGTTACGCTGGTGCTGTCTTTCCAGCTATTGCACAGTCGATTTTAAGTACAAGCCAACAAAAAAAAAAGCAAAACATCTTCCTGTGGTATCTTTGAAGCTGATCAATCGATCAGTTTTGAAGGAAACCACAAGGAGATGAACCCGATGATAATTTATCCACTTGCTGTGCATATGGTACGACTGGATCAAACGACAGACTCCATACCGTGGTACTTTTTCGACTGCCCAAACGACTGATGGTATCAGAGGGCGGGAGACCTGCACTTCTTCCAATTCAGGCTGTCGTGCTTGTTTTATCTTAGTAACTTGCGAGCCGTACCTATTCTATTATTATATATCTATATATTATTGCATGTTTTGGGGTAATCGGTTGGCCGGCCGGGACCTATTCTGCCGAGGGTCTAGCAGACCCCATGTTGGTTGGACTCGTCGTATGCACGTTTGTCAGCAGCCTGCATGTCCCTCAGTAGATTATACATCCCTGTTTATTATTTTTTTTTTACTTTATCCAGCATGTCCCTCTCCATGCCATCCACCTTAGGTCGAGTCTCTTATCTGTTAGATCATATTTCACAATTTTTGTATTTAGGTATTTTTTAGCTTAGTCCATCCAAGTAGCACTGGTCACTCGTCATCTTATTTTTAGTATGCTTCTAAGATAACTTTCAAGCACCAAAACGTGTATTAAAATTATTAACAGTAGATTTATTTGAATATTTGTAGAATTTTTTAAAACGGATGCAACTGATTATTATAATTTATATCGTCTAAAGTTTTAGATATTTAAAATTTAAAGTCTTTATGGTCAAATTTAATGTTTATGCCACTTAACTACTTCCATATCCCAATTTTTTTTAATTCGTAAGATAAAACAATTTTTCATATTTTCATAAACTTTTTACCTACGTAAGACCAGTGCATTTATATTATCACAAAACACAAAATATGTAGTTCAGTAGATAGCGGGCTGATTAAAATTATTTAATTTCTAAGAAATACTATTTTATCTGTAATTTACATCATTCCTTCTTTATAGGATACAATCTTTGTAAAGTGTACGTGTTCCTCACAGTAATATGTTTCAGTTAATCGTAATAATTTGTTAATCAGCCCTTATGCATGACTTGAAATTTTAATTAAAGCGTTTATACTGACTATCTCTCTTCATACGAACAGGTAACAGTATGAAGAAGTGCAGAGCCAGATACGGATTGGATCAGCAGAGTCAGTGGTGCAAGCCTTGCAGGTACGTCGTTTACGTTCGATTACCCTACTTGTATATATTTCTTGATATTGCACGCTTATTGTTTTGTACTTTGGAATAAATTTTATTTTATACTTGCAACCAAACTGATTTTGGTTACAAATTTACGTGTGTTTGTGCGAGATAGGTGATTTTAAGCGCTTCTCAGTTTGGTTCGATGTACCTTTGCTTTTACGTACGGGCTCGTATGAGAAAGATTGGAGTTTATGCGAGCCCGTACGTGTCCTTGATTTCTTGGTGTTTCTTAATCTATGTGGAAAGACTTCTGTTTTTTGTAATTATTATTTGTGTTAAAATTTCCGGAAGACACTGTTGGCAAGTCCTTTTTTTGTGCGTACGTATCAGAAAATGTGTCTTCCCACAAAGACGATAGGACTCATCAAACTTGGCTTAGTTAATGTGCACTGTACACTGCTGTTGAGTAGAACAATTGTTAAGTGCAAGGGGCTTAAATCGGTCTGACTCTTAAAATAGACACATTTTCTGATGTAACCATGCACTTTTTACCCTACTTTTAGTTCTACTTGTTCTTATTATTATTATTATTATTATTATTATTTCTATTATATATTTATGTGTCCTTTTCTGTGTATTACTGTTTTGTGAATGTCAACGCACCCACTCGGGTGTGGACTTGCATTCGTTGAGTGTGTGTTGGTGTTTTTTTTTGGGGCCCCCTTGTACATTTAACGATTGTTTAGTCCCGAGAACAGCTCACACGGAGGCGGAACCTCGGCGGTCCATGGGAGCCTTTTGCACACCACGGGAGGTGCTACCACCACCCAGTCTCCTCAGGAACCCACTTACGTCAATCTATAGCAAAACGTCGGTTAGTCAACAGCAGTGTTGGTGTTCAGTGTTAGATAGAATGTTTTACGTTGTTTTTGTTTTGAACTTGATTATTTTCAGTTGATTTTTACTATAAACGTGCTACATACGACAAAGAATTTTTAATTCGAGGAGGCGCGGGGTAATTTTCGTAAACTCCAGTTTCTTCATCCATACACCGATGTTAATGTTTAATTTTCATTCACCGATCTGGAATATGTAAAGCTTTATAATTCCACGGTCCGTTTCAATTTTGGTTTGTCTTCTGTGTATGGTGAAGAGCAGCTGTGCTGTAGATTTGCATTATTTACCCGAGAACCGTCTTTGTCGTTGTACCCCAAAAGGTTATTTTTTGCTACTCGAGCATGTATTTTTTAACTCCACACCGTCACCACATAACGTTTAGTTTTAACAGAATTGCATGACAGATTTTAGCGGCCAGCATGACCAGTTTTCTTTAAACACATCCCGCCGACATTTTTCCGATACCGCCATCCCCTAACGTTGTCTAAAATGTGTACCTGTTTCCAGGCGAAAGAAGAAGTGTATACGATATATGGAGGCAGGAGATGGAAATGATGGGAATCAATCCGACGACAACCTAGGCAGCTGCGGCAGCATGGGGGACGCCCACACCCCTCCCGAAGACGACAACGAGAGCTTGAATCAGTCGATGTCGAGTCCCGGGGGTCTGTCCGCCCTGAGCAGCCTCACCAGCCCAGGAGGGATGGTGTTGCCTAGTCCGTCGACCAGTGTGGCGAGTCCCTCCGTCAGCGTGGCGAGTCCCTACATGCTGCAGAGCCCCCTGACGCCTCACGATTCGTTCGACGTGAAGCTGCCTCCTCCGCCCCTCCATCACCAGCCGACTCGGAATCCCGTGGGGACTAACCCGCACGACATCAACAATCCGCTCAGTGTTAACCAGTTGACGGGACAGTGCGTCAGGAACGATCCGGCCGACACAAACGGTAACAAAGAGACGGCTCGTTCGATAATTAGTGTTACGTAGCCTTTAGTGAAGGGGCTCGAGGGTAAGGATAGCCTGAAACCACCTGTGATCGTCGTAACAGCTCGTCTAGCGGGCCAGCAACTGTTGGGACTGAGTCCGAGAGCTTCGGTGGAAGGGACTGCGTTTGTATGTGGGGCGATGCAGCGCGCTGATCTCATTAGACTCGAGTGCTGCGGGTTTTTTTTACTATGTAACATAAATGTCATTTGCCAAATTCACCTCTATATATTATATATATATTATAAATATCCCTTTATATTTTCTAGTTATTTATCGAGGGTTGAATGGTGCCACCGAAATCAACGTACTTAAAAGTGTTCCGTATCTTGTCGCCAGAGTTCATTGGGAATAAGTATTTGCGGTACCAAGTAGACTTTACAAGATATACGAGTACAAAAAAATTTGTAACCTTACTTTTGAGTCGCATTTTCCGTAAAAGATTTTTAATTTTTCAAACAAAACGACAGTTTTTATATTACAAAGATTTTTTTTGTGTGGGCCGTAGGTCTATCGTCTTATTTTTGAGATACAGAATGCCAAAAATTAAGTTTTAGCTATATTTTTTCCAAAAAAAAAAAAACTAATGCATGAAATTTTTTAAGAATTTGATTTAATTTAAAAATTAAATCAATAACTTATTATTTTTTTATTAATTTTTTCATTTTCATTACAAACGTGACGCTGCTTTGAGTACTTTGAGAAATTTTAAAGTATGATTAGAAATACACTGAAACAAATAGACGGCGCGTGAGATCTCATAATTTAATTAATCCGTTCCCAAGAATTCTGCCGTTAATTGAAAAAAACGATCTGCGGCTGCACCATCCGACCGGATTTTTCACACTATATAGTTTAAATTTATGTTCCTTGTGCCAGAGGTTACTAACGCTACTTTTATTGTTTTCATTTTCGTTATTCAGAGAAAATTCGCGAAATAGCAACAATAACTGTTTAGCGTTATCCAATTTTTATTGTTTTTTACCTACCAGACATGAAATACAGAATAGATATGTTTAGGATGTATATTAATGCAGACAATGTAATTACTTTGTACATAGAGAAAATGTTATATAAGAAAATACTATCTTTGTAAAATTTATTAATCTTTGACTTTTTGAAATTTTATTTGTTAAATCTCGGCGAGCCGATGGATTTACGTTATTTCCTTTGGGTTCCGTTGTATTTCCAAAGCTAAATTTTATCGTTTCTCGGCATTTCTCCGAATGCAATCCTTTCGCTGCAATATCCGGTCCTAATTTGTAGTTTTTATTCGCGTCAGGCGGGGACAAAATTCTATTTAGTTTTCGTGTTGTGTAAATACGTTCTTAAGATTCCGGCATCAAGAAAATTATTCGACAGGTTCACCTTTTCAGCGATCGACAGAATAGTAAGATTTACGCAGGAGATTCTTAGAGAAAGGCGTTCGTGTTCAGTACTTTCTTTAGTATGAAAATGAAACATGTGATATTTTATACTATTTAATATAAACATTACGTTTGGCTTCCCTCAGGATTTTGCATTTACCGAGTTCTCCGCCGCCACCAAAAGCTCCTCCGGAATCCGTCGACTTGATTTTATAAATAGAGCCATAAATGATTACAAGCCACATGACCGGAAATTAAATCTGGGTAAAATTAAGGCAATAAGTTTACATTAAAACGCAGTATTCTGTTTGTCACTCTTTATTGTAAACGAATCGTTGATATTGACGACACATTTTTGGTTGATAGTACCAGTTGTGCAATGTTGGTTGCATAAGCACGGCGGTCACTTGCTTGTAATCATTTATGAACTTTCGACTTTGATAAATTAAGCTATTTTTAATATTCCAGAAAAGAGAAACTACCGCCTTTCTTTTTTTGCAGAAATTTTTTTTATTCCTTAACGTATTTTTATTAAATCGTGCCGATAGTGCGAGATGACAATTATAACGTGCAATGTTCCGTCGTGAGCGATCGGTAAGTTTTTGGTGGCGGCGTCTCGGGCGAAAACAGACACACCGGCTACGGTCTTCCAAAAGCACGAATCGCGCCCCATCTTAAAGAGATTAACTGTGCCATATTCCGTAAGGGGCGAAGTTTGGAAGGCCGCAGTCGCTCCGAAACGTGACTGCTTAGGTTTTATGAAACTACGTTTAAGTTTTTGGATAAGTGCAATGTAAATGTCTATATAGTACGTTTTTTCCTGTAAAGAGGTAAAGTCGCGCGTACCCACTTTTATTTAACCGAGTCACCTCTTACTACCGACTGCGGCAGTTCGTGGTCCTTTACAGGCAAGAATGGAGTAAACTGAAACACTTTTTGAGTTTTTTTTTTCGGTGGGTCGGGGCGCCCGGCGCGTCTGTTGATGTTTCTGTTTGTACGTGATTTATGTTTTGCCGGCCGAGGCGCGTCCGGCCCACGGCGTACGTTTCGTGGGGCGGCATTGTGAATGCCCCTCATCGATTGTACCCATTTATAGAGAGTAAATGAATATACATATATAAATAAATTTAGAAATTAATATTAGATGTTAATAATGTCTTTGTAAGTAGCATCTGTTCGTAACACCGTATAGGTTAGGTCATTCAATACAAAACCTCAAATATTACAAGTGTTTTATTGTTCTCGACATACAACATTTCACCAAAAAACCCTTTTTATTACAAAAAATTCGAAATGAAAGCATTTAAGGACGGGAATTATGATTTTAGTTATACAGACTTCATAAATGATTACAAGCCACTTGAACACCCAGCTTAGGCAACCAACATTGCACGGCTGGTACTGTAAACTAAAAATCCAACCAATTTTAATGATTCGTTTACAATGAACAATGACAAACCGTTACGCCTACGCTCGAGATAATGCAATTGCCGATTGGTTGGATAGAATCTTGTGAAAAATTACACCAAATCACCAGCCGGTGAAATGGAATGCTGTGTTCCAACGTAACCTTGATCTTACTGTTTCAATAAACGAAATTTAATTGCCAACGAAATGTAATTATTTTTTTAAACAAAATTATCAGTCAGGTGGCTTGTAATCATTTATGAAGGCTCGGTATTTCGCGTTACAATGAAAATTGTGGTGTATTGTATATTACATCTCTTCTATTCCATAAAAATAAAATATTTCCAAACCCCATTCAATTAGAGAGAAGTCTCTCGATCATAGAAACATGCTTAGAATAAAAAGTCAAAGTTTGTTGTAAGGTAAAATTTAAGTACACAGGAAAGCTGTAAAAATATCCTACTTTTTAATGAACGTAGGGTTGTCGAATTAAAAAAATGTAGTTTTTTTGAAAATTGTACTATAAATTTAGCAGCAAAACTGAAAAAAAAACTATTTTCTGAAATTCCAGGCTTCATAGTTCAAAAGTAATAGAATTCCCCGACTTTTCCAGATTTTCCCTGACTTATAAAAAAAAAAATCTAGGTCACTTGCGTTTCATACACTAATTGGTGTTTATGCATTCAATTTTTTCTCGACGACACCATAATCTTTTTTATACCTTAACGACTTATTATAAAGGTTTCAAAACCACAAATAATTTTCTCTTTCAAGAACCCGGCTTTCACAAAATTTCCAGTTGCAAACATCAAATTCCCTGACTTTCATGAATATTTTTAAAATTCCCCGACTATTCTGTTTTTTATGAAGAATAACAAATTCTCTGACATTTTCCGGTATTCCTGGTTTTCCCGGCCGCTACGAACCCTGAATTCTGTCCTGTTCTAGTCCAGTCGATTTAGTCCAATCATCGCGATTGCGGTCATTTTCCATGAACCCCAAAATTTTTTCACATATGAGCTACAAATATGTTATAAAAAAAATAAACATAAAACACACCACAGAAATGAGATAACCCCCAAATCCAAAGCCAAAGGCTGTGCGGAAGGGGGCTACACTTGTAAAAACGTGGACAAACACCCATTATCCATTGACATTGCCAGTGCCGAGGCCAGGGATCGAACCCGGATCAGAATAGGAAGCCTGGCTGAGAAATGCTTGCCACAGCACTCTCGACCGACTACGCTACTGTGGCGATGTAGAATCAACATATTAAAATGCACAAGCACCACATAGTGGAATTTAAGTCTCAAAAAACGTTTTTTATTTGTTTTTCTTCGATATCTAGGTTGAATCACATTCTAGAAAATGTAAGAACATATAATAAAACAATTGACTGTTGCTTTTTGAAGATATAAATCAAACTTTTGTTTTAAATGGAACACCCTGTATATTTGTCGCTATTTGGAATTGGAAAGTTATTTGTTTGTGGCACAGTTTTGGTTTTCTTCTTTATTTTTAGGGAATTTTACCACCTTTAGTTTCTTTTGAAAAAAGAAACTGAAATGAAGTCAGAATAAGTTCAGAAAACTATTTTCATAAAAATAACTCTTGATGGATCCATTTGGCGTAATGGGTTATTTCACCAATTTTTTAAATTTATTCACAGGTGGCAAAACACCCAAAATTTAAAGAACAAAATTATATATTTGCTTTGATAAATGCACGATATTTTGGTTTGTTTATTGTCCCTTCACAATAAGTCAAGGTTTCTATTAAATATCTTCTATTATAAATCTTTGTTTTTTGACCGATTTCAAAATTTGCAGGATAAAAACAAATTCTATGTAACTGTAATGCTGCTATTTTTATTAATGCAATTTACGGCCAACTAGGACACGTTTTTTTGACGTCAAAACAGCTAATTCGTATTAGAGATTTTTTTTCCAAAAAACATGTATTCTAATTTGGCATCCCTTAAAATATCTTATCACCAAATTTCATCAAATTCGATACATCTTCAGATGAGCACTAGTTGGCCGTGTATTGCATTAATAAAAAACAGAAGTATTACAGTCAGGTACAGTTTTTTTTACCCTACATTCCCAAATAAAAATTTTTTAAATTGGCCAAAAAATAAAGGAGTTACAGGCTTGTATCATATTTAAGCGCGACACTGTATATTTAGGGGGCATTTTTATACGGAATTTTCAGTTAGGAACAATATCTCTTCACTGTACCAGTTATGCAAGTGTTATTTAGGTTATCAGACTGATTACAAGCTGACAATACATAGAATAGCATATTTTTGCTTATTGTGATTATCGTTAGGTTTCCTGAACTTTATCCGCCTGTTGAACATACAGATAATTGTGTACGATACTATCAACATAATCACACCCCGCAGAATACTTTGATGAAACTAATTAACACACGAATTAATCATAATTATTGAGCATTTTTACAAAATTCTCGACAAAACAGGAAAGGAACACATGATTTTTACATGTGCCCATGTTTTCGGAGATCTTTCAATGTGAATAAATTAAAGGAATCCTTGTATTGCAACATTTTTATAGTTTAGACGGATTTTCCTGTTCTAACATTGTCTTGGGTCCAATTCTGAGGCCCAAATCCAGGGTTCGGCTCTATGTTTTTAGGGAGTTCTAATGGTAATTTTACGGGCGCTCTTGGGGGTTTTAGTCTTTTATAATGAGACATTTTTTTT